TAAAAGTATATTAATATATAATAATTTATATTTATCAAATTATTAGTTTATCTATAAATATAGTAAAAATATTATTGATATTAATTTATCAGTAATATTAAAATATTAATAATATATAAATTTTATTTATTTAGTAATAATAAATATATATCATTTGATACATTAACAAAAATTATAATATACGTTAACTTAAATAAACAAATAATTGTATAATTTTAAAACATTATATATATATATATTAAAAATTTCAAATTATTAAATTTTTAATAGAAAAGAATAAAATCGCATAATTATGATATTTGAGGGACTAAAATTATTCAATTAAAAATTAAAAAACTAAAATTACACAATTATAATCTTTTAAGAACTAAAATTACTCAATTAAAACCTTAAAAACAAAAATTACACAATTATTATACTTGAAAGATAAAATTACAATTAGATCATTTTCTTTTTAATTAATTTTTTTTTTAAAATCCTAATCTAATATACCCATTCAGCCCTTTAAAAACAATGAGTTTGTTCATTGTATTTCTAAAATTTGACGGAGTTTCTCATCTTAACTCCATTAGTCTTATTTGTTGACGTGATTAAAAGCTGATACGTGGCAATTACGGGTCATTCACGTGGCCATCACGTGTCAAACATGTGTGATGTGATAATCATGTTGTAATAGAGATTAATTTTACCACATTTCAAAAAGAAAAGCCTCAAAACCCTTATTTTTTAAATATGGAGTAGTGATTAAGATTAAGATAGCCTTTTTACCATATCGGTCTAGCCTCTAAAGTTTTTTTGGTTCAACCCATAATAAGAAAAATAATAATATAAAAATAATCCATTGGTTAAGCGGAATATCTATTTTAGCAATTGTTTTAATCTCTTTTTTTTTTTTTTTGGATTTTTTACCTTTTATTTTACTAAAAAGTCTAAACTATTTTTCCTCTGAAACATTTTTTTTTGTTTATTTAATTTTTGTTCTCTAATTTTTATACTTTATCTATTTATTGTCTCAAATTGCATACTCTCCTTAAGTAACTATCTATTTCACGATTTCTCTTATTTATTTATTTTAAAAAGATATAAGTGTCTCATTTTCATTAATATAAATACAGTAATAGCCCACAAATATTTCTCTTTGGAATTATTCTTTCTCATCCAGCCTCCTTTGCAAAGTAATCACAAAAATCACTAATAAAAACGAAAGTGAAATTATAAAATTTTCATCAAATAATTAATATTGGTTGAGGGTACAAGGTATATTCGCTAAACCACATGCAAGTACCCTCTACCATTTGAAAAGAACAAGGAAAAGGATTCGCACAAAATAAAATAAAAAAACAATGTTATTCATTGATGCAAGTCTTATTTTCAACATTTTTGTAGTTAACAAAATTAATTATTCTGACACTTCTGTAAGCAAGAATCCACTGCATAGATATCATCATGATCACGAACATCTGACATGTAAAGTTAATTATAAGAAAACATAAAAGTATAATGAAATTAGAAAATGTTAAAAGAGATTAAAGTTGTAAGAGAATAGATACCAATGGTGGTGTTAATGGAGTTGTTGATGGCACAAGCAGAAATACAATTGCGGACATGAGTGGATGTTTTAGGACAATTTGCAACACAAAGAGCAAAACATACTGGGAAGGGATCTGGAGAAACTAGACAAGTTATGCCACACAACCGAGCACATGTAATTTCCAATTTACTTGGAGGATTGTAATTACTAGCTTCTGCCAACCCAAACATAATTAAGAACAAAATTCCAACTCCTGTCATTTTCATCTTCTTTTCTGCAATATTTTTTCTCAATGTCTTCTTAATTTATCTTACAAACTTGTATACATATCCAAACAATTCTTCTTGTGATGTTTAAAGAAAAATAAACATCTATTTATAGATGTAAAAATACATAAGGATAGCAAATGTAATAATTATTGATGACAAGACCAAATACATGTATTATGTATTTATAATATTTATTATTATTGTAATATATTTATTAACACATTGAAATGCATGTATATATTAATTATATATTCTATAGTTAAATATATTTACAAATTCATTAAGTGACTTTTAAAATAAATTTGCACAAATATATATGATTCGTTATTAAATAAAAATATAAAATTTGATACATATGTAAATTGAAATCTCAATCTTATTGTTTAATTCATTCATTATAAAATTATGTGAGTTAATTTATATAATATGAAAAATCCCCTATAAATCACATATCACATCCATAGTTTTAATTGTTCATTTAATTATTTTTAGTAAAATATAATTTCATAACACAAAAATATAATTATTTTTAGTAAAATTAATATATTAGATTCATAACACAAAAATATAATTAGTAAAAAATATTAGATTGAATTATTTTTAAACATAAAAAATTAAATAATTTCAGAACTATATATTATATTCATTTTAATTTAGTTACCTTAAAATATATTTTATAAACAATAATAATTAAAAACGAGTATTTTTTAACACCAAAGGAGGACGGTGACTGCTCTAATATCGTATTTGATATATTAAGTTAATGAATATATAATTATATTTAATGTATTTAAGGAATATTTAATGTTTAATGTATGCAAGCATTTAAGGAGTATTTAATATATTGAATGTTGTTTAAGGAGTATATTTCTCTCTTTTTCTTTTTCTTTTTTTCGTTTAACATTCAAAGTTTTAATGCAAAACTTACAAAATTGTTGTTTCATGTTTAAAGTTTTGAAGACTAACATAGAGAGGCCGAGTCACTTCGTGTCTCTAATAATTATATACAGATAAATATTAGAAATTATAAAAAATATAAGAATTTTTTTTACATTCTAAGGCATAAAGGTCTATTAAAAAGTGGAGACTAAAAGAGTAGTTACTAAAATGTATCCCCTTTATAATAGGTATAGGTATTTGAGATAGACTTACAAATTTATTAATATATATTTTGATCTCATTAGTAATAATAATAAATAAAATTAAAAAACATAATACCAAAATTTTATGCTACTAAAAATTTTAAAAAATAATATTATATAAGGTCTTAATATTTTAATATTTAAAGTATATAACACATACATAACAAAGTCGACAGTGATAATAAGTTTGCATTTAGAATACAAAAAAAAAAAAAAGTACTAATCAATCATATCATTCATGTAAGAATTTTTAATCAAATAACAATAGGTTATCTGCATCCTACTTGAATTCATTTATTTGATCTAATTTAACAGTTAGTCATTTTGTGTTTGCATGTTATGAATGCAATCTATATAATAAAAAATTTGTATTTGATTTTTATCATGTATAAAAATTTGTTTGATAATTCACGGTTATATATGGTGGAATCAATTTTTTTCATCTAAACATACAAATTAAGATATGTTTGTAATGGTGGAAAAATAATTCAAATTTTAAATAAATTAAGTGAGTAAAAATTTAAGTTTAAGGTTTAAGGTTTACAAATTTTTATTTGTTTTGATATATTTTAGAGATTTGTTTCTTGTTTTTATAATTAGAAGAATTATATAATTTAAATTTTGTATTATATTTTTAATCTATATATAGAGTCGAGAAATAAAATATGAATGTGTTGCGTTTAAGATAATTGGACATGTGGATAATTTTATTGTGTGAGGAGATGTTTTTCCCATCAGTGGCACTAAAGCTATGGCAGGCAATACACAAAAGTTTGATATACCTTAATTTATTTAATGATAAGAAAAATTTTATGATTTGATAGTGTACCATTCAAGATATTTTAGTGCAACAAGGTCTTGATCAAGCTTTGGAAGATGAAAAGCTAAATACTATCAATGAAAGAAAATGAAGTCAAATCCAAAAGAAGACCGTGAGTACAATTTGGTTAACTCTTACTCCTAAGATCAAGTGCAATGTGTTAAAGGAGACAACACCAAAAGCCTTGTGAGAGAAGCTTGAGAGCATTTATGTTTCTAAGTCGTTAAACAATTGCCTATGTTTGAAGATAGAGTTGTATCAACTCAAAATGAAGATGGAGAAAATTTTCATGATCACATTAATCATTTCAACTAACTAATATGTCAATTGCTAAATGTAAATGAAAAAATTTATGATGATGAGCAAGAGGTGTTGATGTTCGTTTTGCTATCAAAATTTTATAAATCTTTAGTTTAGACATTGTTTGTTGGAAAAACATAATTGAAATTAGATGAAGTAACATCCACTCTAAGAGAAAATGAGAGAATGATAAAAAATAAGAATATTAATATTAAAGGTCATGCACTAGTCGTACAACATTCTGAGCAAGGGAGAAGTAATTCATGGAGATAAGATGGACATAAAGGAAGATCAAATTTTCAATCACATCTAGAGTGAGATATAAGTTATATGCAATGTTGTTATTGTGAGAAGAAGGGTCATGTGCAATCAATATGTAAATAAATGAGAGAACTCTAAAGTTATGATAATTATGAGGAGAGAGATGATGACAACTCTAAAGTTAATGTAACCTAAAACCTTCATAATGATGAAGATGTCTATTTGGCAACTATACCAAGGAAGTTACTAAATCAAAATAGGTAATGAATTCTATTACTTCAAAACACATTTGTAGAAACCAAACGATGTTTCACACTCTAAAAACTAATGATAAGTTTGGTCAATTCAAGTTAGAAAATGGTGAAAAAATAAAGATTAAAGGCATTAGGATTGTGAGAATGAAACTTCACAATAGTGTCATCCAAACTTTTGAATATGTAAGATATGTACCTTCTATTGCATCTAATAAAATTTCATTAAGAGAATTGACATCATAAGACTACTGGTATGCTGGTTCAAAATAGGGATGCAAAGTGTACAAAAGAAGACACTTGATATTACAAGGACAAAAAGATGAGAAAAATCTTTACTATTTAGAAGGACAAATTTTGAGAAGATAAATATTTTAATCGACTAGTTATTTGGAAATTTTAATTAAGGGATGATTTGCTGAAAATGTAATTCAAATTTTAAATAAATTGAGCGAGTGAAAATCTAAAAAATTATTTTAAAAATTTGTAATCTTTAAAATATTATTTAAATTGATAAATTTTTATTTATTTTAATATCTTTTAAGTATTTGTTTCGTGTCTTTTTAATTAAAATAATTATATAATTTAAATTTTATATTACATTTTTGCTCTATATATATAATTAAGAAATAAAATTTGAGCATCCTCTATTTAAAATCTTTGAACGTAGGAGGAATTTTTCTCCTCAAATCAAAATGTTTCTAACATAAATATATCTGTTGCGAGCTTAAGCAAAATCATCTATAAGAAAGATATAAATTTTGACACAATTTTTAAAAGGACCAAACCATGTTTGATCATATAAACAATATATGATGATAAATTCATTAAAATAACCATTTAATTAGATGGGTTCTCTTACATTCAAATTTATTTTTTTTTTGGTTTAATTAGAAAGAACATAAGTCTGGTTCACGGATTTTGGTTTGATGCGTTTTTTAAAACATGGTTAAAAACATATTTATCCTTTATTCTATATATATATATATATA